ACCCAGGACCCAAGCCCAGGGTGGCGGGGCTTCCAGCCAGGCCTGGTCTGGGTGTGCCAGGTGATTTGCCCTTCGGTCTGCAGTGTAGTTCGCTAGCTGCAGGACGTTGCGCGCGGGGACACACATGCATGCGTGCGTGCGTGCGTGCGTGCGTGCGTACGTACAGTCAGTCAGTCAGTCAGTCAGTCAGTCAGTCAGTCAGACAGACAGACAGACAGACAGACAGACAGACAGACAGACAGGCAGACAGACAGGCTCTCTCTCTCTCGCGGGCTCCCACGTCGCTGGGGCGCACCTCAGCCACGCCTCGAGGGCGCGCCCCAGCCGCGCCTGGGGGACGAGGGCCATGACGCGGAGGAGCGCGCCGCTGTCCGGGGCCGAAAATCGGAGGGAGAAGAGGAAGGGGAAGAGCGAGCTTGCCGGGCAGAAGGCCCGCCGCGCCCCGTCGCACTGCTCTGCGCCGCCCGGCGGGCCCGCCGCGCTTGGCGCCGCGCCGCCCGGCAGGCCCCTTGGCGCTGGCACTCGCAAACGCACACGCACACGGCCACGCTCGCAGCGGCGCGGCGTAGTACAGGTCGGGCAGGAGCGAGACGCGCGCGGGCCGGCTCAGTTCACGCGACGTGCAGATATTGGATCCACCCATCGGAGATCAACAGCGTCACTCGCGAGGGGGCAGTAGCGAGGGGAGCAGCGGGAGAGGTGGGGGATAGGGGAGAGACGAAGGAGGCAGGAGCAGTGCGCAGTTCAATGGACAAGTAGGAGAAGAAGAGGCGGACCACAACGACGGAGCGCGCATAGGAACGAGACAACAGACAGGACGGGGGCCCTGCGGGCAGCAACGCACTCACGCACGCACGCGCGCACGCACGCACGCACTCGCGCCCCCCCCCCCCCGCACACACACACACATTCCTCCAGTGGCGAGGTGACGGCACCGTCGCGAAGTGCCAAGCCTGGTCACGCTGAGGCGGATGTCCACCTGGAGTAGCAGATGGCTGGATTGGGCGTGGCAGTCGCGTGCAGGAAACAACGCCGAGGCGCATACGCACGTGGACGGCATTGACGGCCATGCAATGGAAGATCAGGCCGAGCCGACGGCCAGCTGGCAGCAGGGGCGAAGGGCGCGCGTTGAGAGTACACGCACACACTTTTCGGCCATGCCACATGTGTCGCCCAATTGGGAACCATCTGTAGTACCTGGCAGCGTGACTCATTCAAGCATGTACCGTCCATAGCCACGGATGTGTGGTGGTCAGTTTTTAAAACATGCGGCCTGAGTGTCATCAAATAGGCTGGGATCTCGCGCGAACTCGCCAGGAACACCCGGTGGTGGCACTGCATGACTTCTGTGCAGGTCGAGCAGTCAACAGCATCATTGGAAAGGCCTGCGCCCTGATTTGCCCACTTCGTTGGAGGCGTTGGCTCCGCAGCGCTTGTTCGAGGCGAGGCCACTGGACAAGCTTTCCTTCAGAGCGTGAATTACCTACCCCGCTTTCGCTTCCAGGCAAAACCAAGCCATACCACGCGCCTCCTCGTCAAGCGGCCTGACCAGTACAGGCTGCAATTTGGCATCGTTTGGTATCTCTTGGAAGCGAGGGTGGTCAAAAGCGAGGTAGGTTTGGTTTCCCCCTATTCCTTGCGTCGTGGTCTCACCAGCTCTGGGGCCTGGGCCGTGCCCGGCGCATGGAGGGGCCAGGGGCAAGCGACAACTGTGAGCGTCGCCAGAATCCAAATGCAACCCACTCCGCCACTCCTCCTCCTCCTCCTCCTCCTCCTCCTCCTCCTCCTCCTCCTCCTCCTCCTCCTCCTCCTCCTCCTCCTCCTCGCCCGCCGGCCGCGCCGCACTCGTCACGGAGGGGAACCGAGGACGCTCGGGGAGAGAAGCACGAGGACCACGACCAAGTTTCGGGTCGGGCGAAAGGGGGGGATTGGGAAAGGGGGGGTACGAAATCTGCTGCATGCAGCCGGTTTCGGCCCCGCCGCCGGGCCCATTCCTCGGTACATGGGCGCCTCCCGGCGCCGGGAGGCGCCGGGAAACTCAGCCACGTGAGCTGATTCTCAAACGCCCCGTTTGCTATCCCCCCCTTTCGCCCGGCCCGAGCTGCATCCAGGAGCGAGCGCAGCTTCTGTCCAGGGGGCAGCTCGGCCCGACAGCGGACGTGCGTGCTGGGCTTCGCGCCCTCGAGGCTGGGGACCGGGAGGGGTCGCATGAGGGGGGAGGCTCGATGGCTTTGCCCGAGGAGTGGTTGCAGGCGGAGGCCTTTCGCGCGGGGGCCGGCCAACCTGCCAATCTGTGCCAGGCGTGTCGCTGTCACCTCTGCTCTCTCGCCTCAGGCTGTGCTGGTTCTTTTTTGCGTGATTCTCTGGCACAATGCAGGCACTGTTCATGAGTTGATGGGGACTCCTTGCTGTAGTGCGGATGTGCTCTCGTGCCGCCCCATCCTCAAACGTCGTGCCTGCGCCACGCTTTGCGGCGGGCCTGGGTGCCGTGAGGATGCAAGCAAGCGTTGTGATGCGCTCGTTTCTCGTATGTGCTTCCTGGAATGTGGGTTTTGACGTGGATCCGGTTTCGGTGACGCGCTGACGACGACCCAGGACCCAAGCCCAGGGTGGCGGGGCTTCCAGCCAGGCCTGGTCTGGGTGTGCCAGGTGATTTGCCCTTCGGTCTGCAGTGTAGTTCGCTAGCTGCAGGACGTTGCGCGCGGGGACACACATGCATGCGTGCGTGCGTGCGTGCGTACGTACAGTCAGTCAGTCAGTCAGTCAGTCAGTCAGTCAGGCAGACAGACAGACAGACAGACAGACAGACAGACAGACAGACAGGCTCTCTCTCTCTCTCGCGGGCTCCCACGTCGCTGGGGCGCACCTCAGCCACGCCTCGAGGGCGCGCCCCAGCCGCGCCTGGGGGACGAGGGCCATGACGCGGAGGAGCGCGCCGCTGTCCGGGGCCGAAAATTCGGAGGGAGAAGAGGAAGGGGAAGAGCGAGCTTGCCGGGCAGAAGGCCCGCCGCGCCCCGTCGCGCTGCTCTGCGCCGCCCGGCAGGCCCGCCGCGCTTTGCGCCGCGCCGCCCGGCAGGCCCCTTGGCGCTGGCACTCGCAAACGCACACGCACACGGCCACGCTCGCAGCGGCGCGGCGTAGTACGGGTCGGGCAGGAGCGAGACGCGCGCGGGCCGGCTCAGATCACGCGACGTGAAGATATTGGATCCACCCATCGGAGATCAACAGCGCCACTCGCGAGGGGGCAGTAGCGAGGGGAGCAGCGGGAGAGGTGAAGGATAGGGGAGAGACGAAGGAGGCAGGAGCAGTGCGCAGTTCAATTGACAAGTAGGAGAAGAAGAGGCGGACCACAACGACGGAGCGCGCATAGGAACGAGACAACAGACAGGACGGGGGCCCTGCGGGCAGCAGCGCACTCACGCACGCACGCGCGCACGCACGCACGCACGCGCGCACCCCCCCCCGCACACACACACACACATTCCTCCAGTGGCGAGGTGACGGCACCGTCGCGAAGTGCCAAGCCTGGTCACGCTGAGGCGGATGTCCACCTGGAGTAGCAGATGGCTGGATTGGGCGTGGCAGTCGCGTGCAGGAAACAACGCCGAAGCGCATACGCACGTGGACGACATTGACGGCCATGCAATGGAAGATCAGGCCGAGCCGACGGCCAGCTGGCAGCAGGGGCGAAGGGCGCGCGTTGAGAGTACACGCACACACTTTTCGGCCATGCCACATGTGTCGCCCAATTGGGAACCATCTGTAGTACCTGGCAGCGTGACTCATTCAAGCATGTACCGTCCATGGCCACGGATGTGTGGTGGTCAGTTTTTAAAAACATGCGGCCTGAGTGTCATCAAATAGGCTGGGCCCTCGCGCGGACTCGCCAGGAACACCCGGTGGTGGCACTGCACGACTTCTGTGCAGGTCGAGCAGTCAACAGCATCACTGGAAAGGCATGCGCCCTGATTTGCCCACTTCGTTGGAGGCGTTGGCTCAGCAGCGCTTGTTCGAGGCGAGGCCACTGGACAAGCTTTCCTTCAGAGCGTGAATTACCTACCCCGCTTTCGCTTCCAGGCAAAGCCAAGCCATACCACGCGCCTCCTCGTCAAGCGGCCTGACCAGTACAGGCTGCAATTTGGCATCGTTTGGTATCTCTTGGAAGCGAGGGTGGTCAAAAGCGAGGTAGGTTTGGTTTCCCCCTATTCCTTGCGTCGTGGTCTCACCAGTCCTGGGGCCTGCGCCGTGCCCGGCGCCTGGAGGGGCCAGGGGCAGGTGACAAATGTGAGCGTCGCCAGAATCCAGATTCAACCTTTCCGCCACTCCTCCTCCTCCTCCTCCTCCTCCTCCTCCTCCTCAGTCCTCCTCCTCCTTCTCCTCCTCCTCCTCCTCCTCCTCCTCCCCCTCCTCCTCCTCCTCCTCCTCCTCCTCCTCCCTCCTCCTCCTCCTCCTCCTCCTCCTCCTCCTCCTCCTCCTCCTCCTCCTCCTCCTCCCCCTCCTCCTCCTCCTCCTCCTCCTCCCCTCGCCCGCCGGCCGCGCCGCACTCGTCACGGAGGGGAACCGAGGACGTCCGGGGAGAGAAGCACGACGACCACGACCAAGTTGTCTCGGGATCGTGTCGACGCCGATCTCTCGGGCCGGGCGAAAGGGGGGGATTGGGAAAGGGGGGGTTACGAAATTTGCTGCATGCAGCTGGTTTCGGCCTCGCCGAGGGGCCCATTCCTCGATACATAGCCCGCCTCCGGCGCCGGGAGGCGCCGGGAAAATCAGCTACGTGGGCTGATTCTCAAACCCCCCCTTTGCTATCCCCCCCTTTCGCCCGACCCGAAAGTTGTCTCGGGATCTTGTCGACGCCGATCTCGGTCATGTTCCACATTGGCCGTCGCCGATTCGCGATGACGACACACGAGTTGACGGTGACCAAGATGGACGCTGACCAAGATCGGCACCGACGTTTCAGCGTAGAGCCTTGGTCATGGTCCCCGCCCGCTTCCCTCCAGCAGCGACTGCTGGCCTTCCCGCGGCTGCGGGCCAGGCCTTGGGGGCGCCTCGAGCAGCCGCGCGGTCTCGATGAGCGAGGTGCGGGTCCACGCCGCCAGGGCAGACGCGTGGACGGTGCTGAGCCGGCCCCCTTAGACTCGCGGGGGCGGGCCGCTCGCGGGAGAGGCGGGTCATCAGCCCGAGGGGGTGCTGCCCGGTGGCCGTGCCTTGGGCGCGCCTCTTTCCTTGGGACGCACACCCGCGGTGCATTTCTATGCCTCCTAGCTGGGGTCGGAGTAGATGTGGTCGGAGGATCGCGCCGCATCGCCGATGCATCGGCGATGCGGCTCGGCGATGCGGCTCGATGCGGAGCCCGATTTTCTCCACGCTGGAGTCGCCGATGCATCGCCGATGTCGCCGATGCATCGGCGATGTATCGGCGATGCGGTGCGATCCTCCGACCCCTTCTGCTCCGATCCCATCCAGGAGGCCTCTAGAATTGCAGAGGAATTTCGGCAAGCGAGAGGAGGGTGGGGAGGTTGGGTGGGCAGAGAGGGCGGGGCAACGGGAGCGGAGGAGTGTATCCAAGTCTTTTGCGTTGGGTGTGAATGTTGAGTATGGATCTTGAGGCGGGGCAGGGATAGGGTGGCTGACCCTCGCTGTAGCTACAACTCTGGCAGTTGCACCGATGGAGTCCAGGCCATTTTATCTTGTCGACAGATTATCCAATCACGATTAGAGGTGCTCGCGATCAGGAAGTGTCATCCTCGCAGCAACTGCGCGAACGCAGCAGCGGGTGCTGGGCACTCGAGGGGCTAGTATCGATGGGTTCTTCGCATCGGACCGATCCAGGGTTGATAGACTCGTGACTCGTTGGATTCGCTATTCCTTTCGTACCTCAACGTCCTGCGCAGCACCGCTTGTTGCAGTATGTGGGGATGCTTTGAAGTGCGCACACTCATCATCAAGCTGCGTCAGCATCGGGCAGCGCGAGTGCTGCGTGCGTCTGGCTGCGACCGCCATAGATACCCTATAGGCGCCCCCATGGTCCCCCATGATCGCCATGCGTCTCGTGAGGTCGTTGGGGTCTCTGTTGTGCAGGCTGGGCCCCCCTGTGCGCTCGGAGATGACCCCTTTCGACACTGTTTCCTGCACTTCATGGGCCCCCCACCGCTGTCATCCCCGAGGGTACCCAAACCGATTGATCCCTCTGTGGCGTCCTCGGGCGCTCAATCCTGGTCACCTGGTGTTGTGATTTGTTCGCAACGTAGCTCCCCGGACGTATCGAACCTCTTCCTGGGGACCGGCTCTTCATCATGAGTCGTTTTTTGCTGTTCTGGGGCCCAGAGAGGGCCCTCGGAGGCCGAGAACGGTCAAAACAAGTTCTCGTCGCGGTTGCTTTGTGACGCGAACATGTTGGGGTGGCCTCCGTGTCCCTGGCCTGTTCGCCTGCACTGGCTGTGTCGTGAATGGTGAGTCTGCTCCCAGACACATCCTGAAGGTTTACATGATCGGGGGGGGGTTCTGGCCGTCCCGCGACCTTCCCTCCTTGATCGCCCCTCGCCCCCCTGCGCCCCCGTGCCTCAATTCGCGGCGGATGCGTCCCGCCGTCGGCTTGACCGCATGCTGGACCCAACGCGCTGCAGACCGAGAAAGTCTGCGTGGCCTCCTCTGCCGCGCGACCTTACAGGTGTTCCGAGAAGGCGGCAGTCGTCGGGGGCCGCCCGCGGGGAGGCCGGCTCGGGGGCACCCGGGGCTCTGGAGGTCAAATAGCTTCTGTTGCATCTTCGGGGGACCTCGCCTGTCCCAAAAACTTGTGTCTTTGGGGGGGCCCGACGCGTGCTCGATGCGGACTCGACGCGGATTTGGCGTGGATTTGACGCGGATTCGACGCGGATTCGACACGGATCCGACACGGATCCGACGCGTCCGACATGGATTCGACACGGATTCGACGCGGACAGGGCCGCGACGGGATAGACAAGGTCCCCCGAGGATGCAACATAAGATGCAGCATCCGAGAGCGTGCGGTGTTTGGTTGGTGTTCTGGTCGGTTGCTCCCCGGCCAGGCTCGCCAGTGGAGCTGCCCCACTCCGTCCGAGAGGTCTGGGAGTCTGGGAGGTTTTGGGGAGAGCTGGCTTCCGAAGCCCCGGGTTCTCGAACATTCTCGGCAGCGTCGGAAGGCTTCTGAAAGCCAGGGTAGTCTCCATCAGCTGCGCCTCGTCGAGGGCGTTCCGGGGGGGGGCCTGAATCGCCCCGAACGGCCACCAGAGAGTCGAGCTTTGAGCCGAAAGCCAGGAGCGTTCCCAGATGTGCTCGCGTCTCAAAACAAGTAAAAGAAAGACGGCGTGCAGTTGTTGTTGCCGGTGTGGGCCTCCTGGGGCCCTCGCTGGGCCCTGGGGCCCTCAACAAAACGGCTCGAGCGGAAGATCCAGCCCTGGGGGAAGGGTCGGGTCTTCCGGGGACCCTGCATTGATGGGCCAAGACATTCGGGAGCGGATAAGAAGGGGGTGATGACTAGGGGGGGGGTATCATGGCGTGGGCCATGATATTTCCCCAGACTTCATGGCGCCCCTTTTTATTTCATGACGTCCCTTGTCCCCCCGCTGGGCCGCGCACATGCCGCCGGTCATGATTTGCACCCCCCCCCTCTTGGACACCCCCCTCTTGGCCGCTCCCGACCTGGGGAAAGGGTCGGGACTTCCGGGGACCCTGCATTGATAGGCCAAGGCATCGGATGTCTGGGGATGTATCCGCACGCTCCCCTGGCTGTGGGCTCCCGCGATCACCCGAGCTCGTAAGCGGGCGCGTTCCATGTGCGGTTACCCTACGGCCACGCTGCAAAACGTCCTTCCATGCAGTCGGGCGTGGAGCCCGCTCGGCGCAAGTACGCGTCGGCGCACAGCTGTCATGCCGCCTTGCTGGCATGACCGCGAGGGCCTCATGGCGGAATACGATGGGTGACGATGTTTTCGCCAAATGGCATTTTAGATTCCACCCTCCGCCCTCCACCCAGAGAAAATGTCCAGCTTCATCAGCGCGCGCAATTAAGATATGCGTGCCATGGTGTGGAACATGCGCGTGACGCCGAGGTGCACTTGCCAGTGCAGAGCGTTTCTTCTGTGCGCGTAAGTAGCTGGCTGTGCACATCGCACGAAGTGCAAGGCTGCAGCTGGCACGGGGGCTAAGCCTTCATGTTCTTCGCGCTCCACCTCGGAACGCTTGCGTCTGGGGTACCTCCATGGGGTCTTGGGCTTTCGGCACCGTCGCCCGTCTTCAAGACTTGTGTTCTTGTCGCCACGCTTCGGCAGTACGCGCGTCGGGCAGTCATACGCGGAAATGGATCGTATCCAAGATGTTCCGATCACCAAGGTGGACGCGTGTTCAACATCACCCCTTACCTCGAGTACCACCCAGGCGGGGTCTCGGAGCTCATGCGAGGTGCGGGCCGCGATGGTACCGCCCTCTTTGGCAAGGTGCCAGCGGCCAAAGCACACCATGAGCACGGTTGCGCTTGCACATCAATCGGAGGTTAATGACGATCACAGGTGTCGATGATCACGGTTCCAAGGTTAAGCGCGCCAGGTAGATCGCATGACCGTTTTGAGATCATCGTGGTTGGGGATTTTAGTTTATCGTGCATCGTCTTTGCAGTACACATCGAAACAAGTTTGCATAGGTCCAGGGTCTTGCGGAGGCTTCGCGTTCCTGTGGTCACACTGCAGTCGTTTGTTCCCCCCCTTTGGGCCCTTGGTGCCGAGTGGAGAAGGGTCTTCGGGGGGAGGCATCCAACCTGGTGACTCTCTGTGTTCTCCACTGCGAGTGTGCCTGTGAGTGAGAGAGCAGGTGGGAGAGAAAGAGAGCAAAAAACAGAGAGAAAGAGAGAGAGGGAGCGAAAGAGAGGATGGGAAGCAACTACAGAGGTAAACAACACGGACATGCAGAGACGGCCGAAAACGAACGAGCGGCGTCGACGGCAGTCACAACCGAATGCGTGTTGGGGCTCGGCCCGCTCGGTTCTTTTTCGAGGCAGCTCCAGTGGAGTGTCCATCGCTTGCCGGACCCGGCGCGGGCAGCGCTGCCCACGGAGGTGCACCCGTGGGTGTCCGTCGAGCTCATTGCGCCCCTGCAGGTCGGCGTGCTCTCCAGCGAGCCGGCAGCAGCAGGCCGGCGGTCGTGGGTCGGGCGAAGGGGTCCCACCTCCATGCGCGGCCCTTCGCTGCACGGCCGTCGAGCTGGCTTGTTAGCACGATTGGGTTTGAGAGGTCGGCTCGCTTGTTTGACTGATGTCTGCTTGCCTCGCCGGACTGCTTTTCTGCATGCTTGCCTGACGCTTGCCTGCTCACTCTTTCGCTGAACTGCCCTGCGTGCGCGCACGTGCGCTTGCCTTCTGAACTGGCTCACTGCATGTGATCGTTGTCTTCCTTGCAGTCTCCCACATGCTTGCTTGCGTGACTAGACAGAACAGTGGCATTGATTCCACGGCGTGCGATACTTTGTGCGCACCTGAACTTAATTCGCCATTTTCTCTTTCGAATAGAAAAGCGCGATGGAAAACGAAGGTGTACACATCAAGAGGTTTAAGCGTGAGCATCGCCCGCATTTTCGCCCCTTGTCTCGTGACTGGTGTGCGCGCTTTCCGCCGCAAATTTAGCACATCGCACTGACGTCGTTGCGTTGCTTGCATGTCTCATCTCCCCTTTCCCTCTCAACATCAAAAACAGCAAACCACAGACACAAAAGCAGGTACCATAACATCGACTAACACAAATAATGTACAAAAACACATGGTAAGCGTCAGCATCAGTGCAAGCATCAGCATACGTACAGCGTGGCTAGAGTAAACGCCGTTTGCCGAGACGCGACAATACCAGATTGGCAAGATGCTTCAACAATGACATGGAGGTCACTGCTTGTAGATGTAAGCGGTTGGCACTCCGAACGTGAGCTGTATGGGCCGCATCGAGAGAACATGGGCAGTCGTTCTGGCCGGATGCATGCCAGGAGCATTGAGCTACGGCGCGCATGCAGTGACGTCCCGGTTTCGGCATGACGAGGAGAAGGCAGCCGGCGGCGACGACTCTCTCGCGTGCC